CCCCCCCCCCCCCACGGAGTCATCTAAGGGGGTAACTTAAACAATTAATTATCCATTAAAACATCGTTCTGAATAAAACTAATGATGTAGCCCATCTACTAAACAGAACTGTTGCAGTAAGTCTAGTCTTTCAGACTTTCTATTATACAGAACTGTCTTAATAATGTCTAGTCTTCACGCTTTCTATTAATTACAACTGTCTCTTAATTAATAAGATGCTGAAGACTTTAAGAGAATAATGTTGCTGCTCCATCATATCTTAATCCAAAACATTAACATAATGATAAAACTTTTAAAATGGGTAAATTAAAAAAACAACAACTTTAATCTGTTTATGTGATTGCTTTCTTCCGGTTATAGTAGTATTTCTATAGAGCAGGCCTGCACAACATACGGCCCGCGGGCCACATGCGGCCCGCCAGCACCCACTTTGTGGCCCGGGTAGTAACGAAATATTCTTTATTCGTATTATTTTATTAATAGCTTCCCCCTGTTCTATTTTCTTTTGGCCCGCACAATTTTTTCATAAAGTATTACGGCCCGCCTTACATTTTTGTTGTGCAGGCCTGCTCCAGAGTATTGTACACAACTCTAATTGTTAATTTAAAAAATAGCTCATATATCGGATATCAAACACACAAAAATATGTGTTGGTACCCAATGAAAGCTTAACCATGTTAACATTTTTTTAAAAAAATAACAAGTTCGGCGATATGTCTCCGAGAGATAACCAACTATTTTTGTATCAAGAACAAGCCACCCTCTTGTTTCCGTATTTTAAGAATCGGAAATTCAAAACCCGCTGAGATGCACTTGTCATTTTAATATTGCAATGATTAAATTCTCAAAATTTGGCCGAAGTGGATCTCAGAAACAATTTATAATGGACATTTTATTTCTTTTCCTCACAAAAGCAAACAAAGCCGGGATCTTTTTAACTAATAAATAATTAGCACTGGCTAAACTAAAAAAATTCTATATTGATCTTAAAAAAAAAAAACAAGGTTTTGGAAAACCCCTTATTATCATATCGAAAGCGGAAGTAAGGGGAGACATTTTCATCAAGATGACGGAGACCTTGGTGTTTCTATTTCTTGATCAGGCCTTAGGAAACGCTTTATAGAGTAGATGGGCATGTGTCACGTGACAAGTTGCGTTAATGAATGTTAAATATTTAATTAAAACATTTAAATTTGTTACCAATGTATTTATTGGACAAGCCATGATGACGTCATGTTGAACTTTCGTTTACACCGACCCAGAAGTGGTTTATCTTCGTTTTTTTTTTTTTTTTCCAAAACGGATAGGGGTCAAAGACTAAAACAATAAGAAGATAACCTCTTGGTAAAAATTTAAAAAAAAAAAAAACAGTGTAACATACGTCCTGGCTTTTTCGCCACATTTCTTTGCATGACTTTTGTATTTAGATGTATGTCTTTATCCTGTCCGCTTGCGTCACCGGGTGCCTGTCATCAGACCATGCGCGTATTACGAAGCAATGAAATGTGCGATGTCATAAAAAAAATAAAAAATGTATCGGTATGTCCGACTCATGTATGTGTTAAATAGTTACAGAACTGAAGTCAGTACACTGATTGATTCATTAAATGTCTTTATTTCTGTTCTCAGAAGCAACCAGCCCGACAGGCACCGCTCAACCGCCAAGACTTGGCGAGATTGTAAGAGTCAGGATATCGCCACATCACATCAATGCGTCATAGGAGAGAGTAAGCGACAGCAACAACATTGTGTTCGTCTAACCGAAAAGTGAAATGTTAAGTTGAAATACATCTCATTGGGATTTCAGTCATCAAGTTACTGGGAAGCTGATTTTGTACCAGAGACAAAAACATTGCCTCATTATTTGGATCTCCCCCCCAGGAAAGTGACATTTTTAAGATTAGCTTTAGAATTTCTCAAGGGGCAACGGGTTTGAAAGAAAATCTTTGAACGAAAATCTTTGCCCTTTTTGGACTTAGATCACGTTTGCATTGGAAAGTTCATGTATTTCAGGGGCGTAGCGTTTAAGTCTTCAAGTGTTAAAGTTTAAGTTGTTTCTACTTGTGTTGTGGTTCCCCCTATTCTCGGTTTTAGACACGTGGCTATATTACAATAAACCGTTGCAACATTTCTTGTTTGTTTTTTCTGGAGAGTTGGATGTACACCATCAGCCTGACTGAGAGTATTCCGTAGTTGGATTATTGAAGTGCTGATTGCTTGGATTAATGGCAAGAAAATACTCTATAAACAGTAGGTCTGCCGCGACATGAACTTGTCTGTCCCAAGACCAAAATGTCTGCCACCAAGCTGAGCAGAGTGGAAATCTCGGGTCCTGTTCTCCAGAGCGCCACAAGCGTCAGAGTCAGTCCTGCTTTCAAAGACGGGATCGTGTACTCCTCGACCGGGAACCTCCTCGGCCAGCAAGATCAAAACAAACAGCACCCGTCGTTAACACCTGAGGAAGAAGCTTTACTGAGACTTCAGAACAAATACGCCTCCCCCGATAACCTGTCCCCGCCCATCATGAACGCGCAGCTGAGCATAGCCAACATAGAGGCGGACGCCGTCAGATCCAATGGCGGAAGCTCGACTTTTTCCGACACGTCCTCGGATCTTTCCGACATAACGACGTCAGTGCCGAGCGCTGGTTCGGCGTTCGTTCTGCCTCTGGTCGTCGGAATCTCGGAAGAGGACATCAACCAGGTAGAGATGTTCTACCGCAGTCATAAAACTGAAGTTAGGGTGTGCAAGTCCTTGGCCAATCTGTATGTCTCGGCCCCCAAAATACCGGAGCGACCAACGATACCTCAGAGCACTTTGTCCAACAAAGACAGGAAATCCAAAACAATTTCTGACAGTTCCGCCCCAAAGTCTCCGGATCCCGCGGACATCAACAAGGACGAGTGGGAGTTCTCTAAAACGGGTGTCCCGGTGCTCGTCTTAGATTCCGGTGAGCATTTACGCGAGAGACGTTTGAACATCATCCTCGCGGAGAAGGGCACCGGGTTCACACTGTGGCAGGACCAGATCAATCACATGACCCGCTACAGCACGCCTCACACGAATTTCCACACGATTACACTCTCCACCGACTCAACGCGATTGGTCGGGCTGAGTTTTGACGAAGGCAACGCGGCGACGGAGTTCGCGGATGCTTTCCGCTCGCTGACGTCAAATCCGGACGACGATTTGTTGAAACTCAGCAAGAAGAAGAAGAAGGAAAAGAAGCCCAAGCAGAAGTACAAACCCCCGAAGAAAGTGGACATCTCGCAGCCATGTTGTTTTGTACACGTAACTAAACTAGAACGGCCAGACCTTATGAGTGGTTTGTTTCCACCGCCCCCTAGCGGAGCAGACCTGGACAAGCTAGGGATGACACGGGCCATGAGTGAAAGCTCTGGTATCTCAGAATGCTCTACAAATCCATCGGACACCTAATTTTTTTTTTTTTAAACATCAAGTGCACCAAGAAAACACCCAACAATTTTTGCGATAAAGGAGTCTTCCGAAAGAAAAAATTCAGGTTTTAAAATCAGAACAAAATCTTTGCGTACAAGTTATATGGTCTGGAATACTAGTCACGATTTTGAAATTCCGGAAACAATATTCCAAGAATAATTCAACGCATTGATCATAACTCTTTCATAATATGTATGTCATAACAAATTGACATACTTGGGGCTTAGATCAAATCTATCGAACTAGGCCACACATCAATGATCTGATGAACTATTTCACAGGACAGATCCTTTAGTGTACCAAATCTCCTACAGACTGGATCATTCCGTGTGTCCACTCTCCTACAGAACGGATCATTCCGCGGGTCCACTCTTCTACAGCACAGATCAATCAGTGTGTCCACTGTTCTTGGACCCGCCTCACTCAGTGTCTGGTCATTCTTGTGACACATCAGAATACTGCTGAAATTTCGCCGCGTTGCCTTTACCAAAGACATTTACCACGTAACATTTATAGCGGACGTTACCTCAATAAGTAGTGACCTCATCAGAACACGTGACATCATCAGATCATGCACATTTTAGCCACATCTTTTTGACATTTTTTTTTACGACAATGAATGCTGCTGAATGGTCCTCAGGCTCCACGTGTAGCGTCCATGGCAACATGGCTGCATAACTGCATGTGAAAAGTATGTTATCAAGTCTAAGGGGACCGGGGATTACGTTTTGAGAATCCCTTGACATCGTTCTGTCTTACGCATGGCTGTAATACAACACATGGAGGTAGACAGGGGCCTTATGAGAAAAAAAACTCTGGTCTTCTAACTCCATGTCTCAGTATTAGTGAAGGATTATGAACACAAGATACAAGGTGTCAACACACTGCCCCTTAGTGATGACATTTTCTGGTGCTATAAAATGTGTATACTTTCTTTAAGGTTTGCCGTGATTATCTGACATCATTTTTTGGCTACAAGCCATAATAAATTATGTACAATTATATTTTATAACTATGTGGAGATATTTCATGGAGATATTATAATAGCAAAACTAAATACAGCAGACGTCTGTTAAGATTTTATGCCGTAAACCATGATAATATATAAACAATGACATTGCCTGGATTTATTGCGTAATAAAATGTGCCCATTGTCAGTGGCGTAGCTAGTGGGTGCGTGGGTGGGGTGCGTGGAACGCACCCGGTGACACAACCCTAGCTACGTCACTGCCTATTGTATAGTAGCATGCCATTTATTTGAATTAAACATCAATTTGTGTACAGTTTGTGGTCACATGCCATTGTACATTGTTTATCATTATAATGCCATGATAAAATGTATACATTATATCTGTATACCATTTCAACATGTCATTATCTGGGATGTGTCCGACATCTCCTAGTCATCCAATGACAACAGTTACAAAGAGATGTCATTCTTGCCTTTTGCATAATTAAAACAATTAGATTGTCGTCATGGAGTCTCTTCAATATGTCCACCGTGCTGTTCCTAGTTTGTGTTGCTGTCTGAGCATGCCTAGGAGAGTAAAATGTTTGACTCTTATCGAGGCAGTGCCGGTATCTGAAGTTTTAATTTTCCTACCTACGGTAACTCAAAGATTTAAAATTGTTTGATACTTTTGATAGAAATAAATCAGGCTAATTGAGAAATTATTCTCATGTTCAGGTCAATTGTTCACGATACCAGAGACAACATTTTCTAAAGCCCCTAACTTTCACAGCAAAGTTTTCATAGTAACATATTTCTTTGGCGTCAATGCCCACCCCCCCCCCCTTCTTTTTGGTTTTATACTATCAACGATCTCGGCGCCAATATGTATTTATTTATTTCGGCATTTTTATCTAGCGCTTACCTTAAAGCTCTAAGCTCTTCACAATTATTAACAACATGCACATTATTTAAATTGCTAAAGTAAAATAAAAATGAAAAACCAGAGACACTAGAATAGTAACAACTATGTTTAAAATGACTATAGAAACATTAAAATGGCTATACACCTTGGCACGTTTTGGCCTATACTACAGGATCAACCCGAGACAGAAAATGAGGCAGGGCGAAGAGGGTGCATCACAGGTCATAGGCGGACCTAAACAGGTGGGTTTTAAGGGACTTTTTGAAAGTGGACGAGGTTTCACAATGACGGATGTGGAAGGGGAGCTGGTTCCAGAACGTGGGCGCATGGAAGTAGAAGGAGCGTTCACCGATGGTCTTAGTTTTGGTTCTTGGGATTGAGAGGGTTCTATTGTCAATGGAAGAGCGTAGTTGTCTTGTGGGAATGTAAGGAAGCAGCAGTTTAGAGAGATAGACAGGAAAGTTAGGGTCAGTGAACGAGTTGAAGCATAGATTGGCAGACTTGTACTTGATGCGAGAGGATATTGGAAACCAGTGGCGTTGCCGCATGTGTGGTTGAATGTGGTCATGTTTCTTTGATTTAAAAATGAGTCTGCATGCTGAGTTCTGAGCCTTCTGAAGTTTGTCTATGTGGTGTTGAGGAATGCCTGCGAGTAGAGTGTTACAGTAGTCAAATTTTGAAAGAATGAGTGAAGAGACTAGAGTTTTTGTGGCATCAAAGGAGAGGAGGTGTCTAATGGTGCTGATTTCTCTAATTTCATTGTATGCTGATCTGCATATGTTCGTGACATGTTTGTCCATGGAGAGAGTGTCTTTAAACGTGACTCCAAGGTTTCTGGCAGAGGCTTGAACTATTGACTAGCAAGTAGCAGAATTACATTTCCACAAATCGCACGCGGACATAACAGATCAGCCATGTTGAAAACCAAAATACTCTCTAACCTGATTACAGTTTGCCATAGTGTTAACTTAAGCTCACCCCCCCCCCCATAAACTATCCGGCCCCAAAGTGATTTGCGGAGAAAAAAAAAAAGAAAAGAAAAAATTGAAAACCAAAATACTCTCTAACCCGATTACAGTTTGCCATAGTGTTAACTTAAGCTCACCCCCCCCCCCATTAACTATGCGGCACCAAAGTGATTTGTGGAGAAAAACAAAAAGTAATGATAAATAAGTAAATAGTGTCGCATTAAAATTATGGCTTTGTGTTCAATGGAGGACACCTTTGAGAAACTGGCCAATTGATGATTTCCCATTTCGTAAACTCATTTGCCAGGTTAGCTGGATTCGTGCCCAGGACTACTATACACGAAGGGCGCAACTTAATTCATGACATTAACAAAAAATGTATCGTGCTATTTCGGAAATATGCCTGCATGCTTCAGCTGACAACAAGATCTGCTCGACTCACTTCCCTCGGTATGCTGTTGCAGATAGTCGTGTTACTTCAGTTACATCAGCCAGAAGTAACAGCAGTCATGTTATTCCAGCTAAATAATACAGAAGTAACGCCAGTCATGTTATTTCAGCTAAATAATCCAGAAGTAACACCAGGCATGTTACTTCAGTTACATCAGCCAGAAGTAACATCAGTCGTGTTATTTCAGCTAAATAATCCAGAAGTAATACCAGTCATGTTATTTCAGCTAAATAATCCAGAAGTAATACCAGTCATGTTATTTCAGCTAAATACTCCAGAAGTAACATCAGGCATGTTACTTCAGTTACATCAGCCAGAAGTAACATCAGTCGTGTTATTTCAGCTAAATAATCCAGAAGTAACACCAGTCATGTTATTTCAGCTAAATAATCCAGAAGTAACACCAGTCATGTTATTTCAGCTAAATAATCCAGAAGTAACACCAGTCGTGTTATTTCAGCTAAATAATCCAGAAGTAACATCAGTCATGTTATTTCAGTTAAATAATCCAGAAGTAACACCAGTCATGTTATTTCAGCTAAATAATCCAGAAGTAATACCAGTCATGTTATTTCAGCTAAATAATCCAGAAGTAATACCAGTCATGTTATTTCAGCTAAATAATCCAGAAGTAACACCAGTCATGTTATTTCAGCTAAATAATCCAGAAGTAATACCAGTCATGTTATTTCAGCTAAATAATCCAGAAGTAACATCAGGCATGTTACTTCAGTTACATCAGCCAGAAGTAACATCAGTCGTGTTATTTCAGCTAAATAATCCAGAAGTAACACCAGTCATGTTATTTCAGCTAAATAAGCCAGAAGTAACACCAGGCATGTTATTTCAACTAAATAATCCAGAAGTAACGCCAGTCATGTTATTTCAGCTAAATAATCCAGAAGTAACATCAGTCATGTTATTTCAACTAAATAATCCAGAAGTAACGCCAGTCATGTTATTTCAGCTAAATAAGCCAGAAGTAACACCAGTCATGTTATTTCAACTAAATAATCCAGAAGTAACACCAGTCATGTTATTTCAACTAAATAAGCCAGAAATAACAACGAGCCGCACCTTCTCTTAACCTGAAATAGATTTCCATAACAAATCACAGCACAAAAGACTTAAAAACGCGTTTGCTCAGGGGCCACCCTTGAGCCAACTGCTGGATATTTTGAGAATCTTTGCTCTTCTGCTTGCTGATATTTATTAAAGGCCTTGCGGCCAGCAAGCTTCATGTTTAATATCTGGATCCCGGCCGGAAGCTTAAGTAATGACACGTATTATGTGGAGGCTGTGTTATCATGCTGGCATGCCGTGGGGGCTGTGCCATCATACCGGGCATACCCGATCAAAGAGATGGAAAGCCAGGCCATAAGGTCATAGAGAGTAACCCCAGAGGCAGAGGCGTAGCGAGGGTGTTTGGCGCCGGGGACAAGATTCGCGCACGGGGACAAGATCCATCTTAAAGCGCCCCCTTTTCTTTTTTTTCAACTCACAAACCCATTATTTTTACCAATAATATAATATCAAAGCACATTTTGGCGCCCCTAACTAGCTTGCGCCCGGGGACATCGGTCCCCCTGCCCCCCTCGCTACGCCTCTGCCCGGGGGCCGTTACTCATTCTTAGTTGCACTTGGGGCTGAGGCTCTGGAGAACCTGATTCAAGTAATCCAGTTTTCTCTGAATCCATTCTCTAAATAATGAACACGTTTATGTGCCGATTTGTTCATCCACATATAACTACACTCCATGTTTGAGGATATGACAGAGTTGGAGTCATTGGAGTCAGTATTCAAGTGATGACTTTGTTTTCCTCATCTGAAAATGCTTGTTTATTTTTAATCGTTGGTTTTCCTTGGAGTAAATTGAAACTAGAAGTGAAGTTCAAGTAAGTCAACTGGATTGTCACCCCCTTGCTTAAACTCTCTACTAACGCCACCAACAAAAACCATCTTTCTCTCTCTCTCTCTCTTTCTCTCTCTTTTGTAAACCACATGGAAATGCTACAATTTGGAAGGGTCAAAGCGTGACTCACTGGCAAAGAACTGCGAGTTACAAAGTGAAACATCAGTTACACCAGAACGGTGCAGCTATATAGATTATATAGGGGACCATTGTGACAGTGTGACACTCAATGATTAGAGAACCAGGGTGACAAAAAATGTCGAGAGAGCTAGAGTGACAGGGTTGGCACTGTGACATGGTGATTAACAAATAGTGGGAGAACCTGTGTGATATAAAAATGTTAGAAAAACCACTGTGACAGATGACACAAGAAATAATGGAGACAAACTATGACAGGAGCGGGTCACACAACGCGAAATTAATAGACATCTGTATACATTATATAACTGTAAATGTTTAAATTTATTTCATATACGTTTTCCTTAATGTTTCATTAACTCTGTAGGGCCATAAATGAAAGACTCGGTTCAAGCTACGTGAAGGAAATAGTGGAACCAGGAATTTTGAAGCTTGAAACGAAAGAACAGGACAATAAGAAATAGAAATGAGTTTTAAAAAACTTAAGTGTATGTAGTTGACCGTTTTATGGGAAAATGGGTATTTATTTGTTGTTTCTTGTTTTGTGCTGCCGAAGAAGACTTTTAGCCGACGCGTTCTATTTTTATTCTCCTGCTCTCTCATTTCAAGCTCCAACATAGCTAGCTTCAGTATTTCTTCTGGAGCACATAGGCCTATCCGGTACCCCCTCACCGAATAGCACCCTGTCAAACTTGTGCAATGTTGACCCTCCAGTTTCCAGTACGATTAGGGCAGCCTTGCCTTGGGGGACAGGTAAGAAGGCTGTCGGTGATGACCAGAGCAAACATGCGTCTCCCGGGAATAACGTCGGTTGGTAATAGATCATATTTCACTTGGGTTTCTCAGAAATAGCGTATACAATGGTTAAGGTGGTCATTGTCGATCTCGACTGACGAATTTATGTATATAATATATATATTTATATGAATGTACTAACATGTTTAAGAATTTGGTCTTATTCGAAACAACCCCATTGTTAGAAATTAGAAACATTTGCTTGTTAATATATTCCGCGACGATTCGAAACTAGTCCTAGCAACCCTCGGAGAATGCACAACTCATATAAAGTTTTAAGTATAATGATTTATTCTACAAGCCGGGCGCTCTTATCAGACTTTTCCCCAACAGGG